AGTTCAGAAACATGGAGTTAGACTATGAGTCTAGTTTGTTGGGGAAATTGTGAAATAGTTTTTTTCATAATATGCATTTTCCATTAACTATTTTTATTTTTAATTTGTTTGAGGGTATGCTACTTCACTGGGGAGAGAGAGAGAACAAGAGAGAGAGAGAAAGCAGAAAGCAAGACAGAGAGAAAGGAAGGGTGAGAAAGTTCCCTCCATGAGGGATGGTCACACCACAATCCCTCTTCCTCCATTTCTCCTCCTTCCATGATCTCGGGCATGTACTCACACACACCTGGTGTGTTTTTCAAGCTGTTGGGTCTAGGATAGGAACTGCACAGTTGGCCATGTGGGATCCAGCCACCTGAACCACTATGCCACTGCTGACTCTTCCATGAACTTTTTGAGGGCCCCTCAAATATACACACTCATGTATTTTTAAATACTTTATCTGTTACTTGATGCAGACATTAACATGCAGAGAGAGGGGCCTTGTTATTAAATTCTAAACTCACCAGCTCCTAGACAACAGTGGAAGCATTTGGTCTGGACTTCCTGTAAAGATCTCAATGTTTCGAAACTACTGAAACAATTTTCCACTTTCTTTTATGAACCCACTACACGTACAATGGAAATGAAGACTATTCCCTGCAAAGGATTGCTTTCCCATGACATGCAAGCCACAGACATTTGTCGTACTGATATCATGTCTGCTAAATTAAGTAAGGAGGAATGTGTTTAAACTCCGTCAGGGTGGAGTTTTGTAACCAGAAAACCCCACTGAAGTGCCCTCAACTCTCATTAACAAAGCTCCTGACAAAAATTTGTCTTCGTCTCATTTATTTTAGAAGATATTAAGACATTTTAAGTGATGAAGAATAACTTCTTAAAGTGATTTTCAGTAACAAACTGTTCCTTGCCTTTACTACAAAATTGTTCAGCTGAAGAAAGCGGTTATTCCTCTTCTCTGGGAGTACAGTTTATGAAGTATTTTCTACCCAGTGAGAAAAGTATTGAAATAGCAACAGGCGTTTCTGACTCTTAAAGTCATTCTCCGAGTTTCCTTCAAACTTCCTAATAGCAGATTTCTCCCTTTGTGAGGACAGTAGGGGGCACTGCCACAACAAACTTTTGTGGTCAACTGAGAGATTTCCCTGGGCAAAATCACAAGGCTAGACGTTTTAGGATTGTCTGTGTCGATGAGCATCTAAAAATATTACACAGATTTTTTTTCTCTTCCATAACTCACTTCGGGGTGCAGATTTTGGGATTTTCTTTCTGTTCGTGTGTGTGGGTGTGTGTGTCTAGGTGGTCATTCGTAAGCCTGTGGTAGAAATCTTATATTGCAAATTTGGGGCTGATGGAAGAAAGTCAAACAGAATCCTCTGTTCTAAAATACTAACTAAATATAAGTAACTAAAACACACTCAACAGTCAAGTGGCATTCAGTGTGGGAGTTTTGTTTTTGTTTTTGTTTTTGCTCTTTTCCACAGTTCAGATTTCAGTATTCTCACAAACATCAAACTCCAAGTTCAGATTCAAGATGAAGGAGAACCATGAGGAAATTTCATTAAGTAAGCATAGTCCAGGCTCTACAGGTTGCATTTTTTTTTTAAATAAGAGTTTTCTATGTAATTGAGTTAAACTTAAATTTATGCATCCAATAAAAACCCATTGCAAATGGCAAAACAAAGCCATTGCCCCAACACTTAGAAAATTAAATTCGCCAAACCATGAAGTCTACTGTGCAGTTATTTTTGTAACCACTATAAATTGCTTTATAGATCTCTTCTGCTGTAGTGAGCAACTTAAGGGAGAGATTCACTTTACAGCACGCCTCCAGTGTTACAGGACAGCGTGGCCTTGAAGTTTATGGCTCTTTGGGCTTTTCTTTTTCTTTCTTTTTTCAATACGTGTGTTTCTGGTTACCTTGACATTTTCTTTCTCTTACACAAGCTCAGAAAGGCCCATGGAAAATGCGATCCCAGACTGTATGTATACCGTGCCCTCGAACACTCATTTCTGGAATCAGAAGAAACAATCCCACTTTGTAGACATAAAGTTTATGTGGCACAGCCAAAGGAAGGGGGTCTAGTACTAAATATTTCACCATATTTCACAGCACTGCCGAGCCCAACATGGTCTCAGATGTTTCAGGCGGCTTGAAATGTGCTGGCCTAGACAGCACTGTACCAAGCCGGAATTCAATGCAAACTGCTATAGATAAGAGTTTTAGGGGTCTTTAATCACAGCTTTCTTGTGTCCTTGATGGAAAAAACAGAGGTTTCTTTAATCACTTCTTTCTTGTGTCCTTGATGGAAAAAACAGAGCTGCCTTTGTGCTTAAAAAAAAAAAAAAAAAGACCTGTTGTTTCCAGATTCAACAGGTCATTTTTATAAGAACTTCCCAGAGGATATGACATAAATGACAGAAACACAAGGGAATATTTTAAGTGGCTGGTGATTTTAAATGATATATATTCTATAGCGAGGGGAGGTTGTTTGTTTTTCTATCACATGGAACGTTACCGTTTTAAAAGTGTTTAACGTATAAATTCAATTTTTAGGACCAAACATTTTCTCATGGGTTGAGTCACTGTAAATTCAGCTTCTGAAATCAATCGGAGGGTGCACCCAAATCAATAAACTTGTCAAATCTCGTCCATTTCTGTTGGGGCGGGGGACGCATGGTTCATTTAGTGAGCTTTTGAAATTGTACCTAAATTGTGTTAGAACTTGTGTAACATTTAGGTAAAAGTAATGAAGAAAATGCCTGTTTTTATCAACAAGATAAACTTTATAGAATGGAAGATTCTGGCAACATGATTTCTCCTTATACTTAGAGGAAAGAAAAAAAAAAGCCAATATTTTAGAGCAAACAAAATTGAGGTAACACTAGGATGTATGAGTTTGGCTGATCGAATTATTAAAGGTGGTCTGAATTTGAGGAGGCTGGCAAATTTAAGATTAAGATCTAAATGAGTCTTGCTTCCTACACTGTTTTTTACAGGGCTTTTCACAGTATATTCTTCCCCCCCCAACACACACACACACTTTTTATTTTTTTTAAACTTACATACCTTATTTGCAAAGAGGACTGTAGGAAAATCTTTGGAAAAGTTGCTGCAAGTCCAGAGACAAAAGTTACTTCTCCCTATAAATACCGAAAGCACTTCGCAACTCTCATAGCTCGCCCCAAACAAAAGTTATTACCAAGGGAGCGCTCTTTAAAACAAGGTGACTGGCGGCTGGCATTCGCTCGTATATCTCCCGAACAGCGAGGCTCTCTGGTCCTTGACACTTTTACTAAGTCTCTATATTACCTAGCACCTAGGACAACTGTCTGGCAGAGGGTCAAAGTAAATAAATACCTGATGGCCAAGGCTATGTTAACCACAGAAAATGGCCCAATCCCCCCAAAATAGAAACAGGCCTCCTGGAGAGAGGGTACCTTGTAATTGATGAAAAGCTTAGTATTTAGGAAACTTTCTTTTTTCTTTAGCTAAATACGTGAATAGTTTCAAGAGAAGGAGAGAGACAAGACTGGCCATTTGGGAGAAAGGGTATCCCCCAGGCTAAAACAAATGGCGAAGGCCAATGTCCCATTTCCTCTTTCAACATCCACTTCCCGGAAAGAGAAGGCCAAGTGGGGGAGTCAGACTCCTCAACATAAGGACAGCTACGTGTGACCTTTGGCCTTCTTCGTGAAGTGAGGAGGAAGTTAACTGGGGGTCACCGAGGGCTCTTCGAAGTGTCCCCCTGTCCGGAAGCCCCGCACTCTGACTGCCCCAGCCTGGACCCGCCCCCGCTCACCGGTACCAGGCGAGGCCCTTGTCGTAGCTGCGGTCGAAAAAGTGGGGTTCCGCGCCCACGGCGCGCACGTCGGGGTGCACGCGCAGGAACTCCAGCAGCGCCCTGGTGCCGCCCTTCTTCACGCCGATGATGATGGCCTGCGGCAGCTGCTTGCTGCCTTCGTCCAGGAGCAAGGCCAGGGTCCCCGGCGGGGCCTCGGCCACGCTGCTTCCGGCCCCGGAGCCGCCGGGACCCACGGCCTGGCCAGGGGTCTCCTCTTCCCAGGGCTTTCTCTGCGCCGCCGCTGGCCACACCGCCAGCTCCCTCGGGCCTCCGGCCAGGACGCCGCGAGCCGGGGCCCCCGCCTCCTCGCTGCCGCCCGACAGCCCCACGACGGGGCCCGACAGGGTCTGGCAGCGCTCGGCCAGGCAGTAGAAGACGTAAAGGGACGTGAGCAGGGAGCAGAGCATCAGCAAGAACTTCCGGAAGATGCTGCGGGACAGCGGCTCGGCCGGGGTGGGGTGGGCGCCGGCCGGGCCCAAAGGGGACATCCTAGCCGGAGGCGACGTCGGGCAGCGCGCGGGCCATGCTAGGCCGGGACTCCGCCAGGTGCCCTAACATCCCCCGGGCGCGCCTGAGCGCTGGACAGAGGCCGCAGAGCCGGTGCGCGCCTATGGCGGTGGCCGTGCGGGCTGCCTCGGGAGACCGAGCCCGGGACCCCGCAGGGGATCCCAGCTTCCAGTCGGGGGGCGCACGGGGGCCGCGGCGGTGCTTAAGAAACCATCGTCTTAGACTTGCCCAAGTCCCGAGCCTTTGGGCAACGCTGGGCGCTCCAGTTCCGAGAGCCGCCGCAATGGGGTCTCGGCGGCGGTGGCGAAGGCGCGTCTCAGCCCCGGTCCCGAGCGCCGCTCAGCGCGGAGCTCCACTCAGCGTTCGTGCATCCCTCGCTCGGTCCCCGGGAGGCCGGCTCCGGGTGGGCTGAGCTCCGTGCGCTCCAGACAGAGGCGAACGTCAGTGCCCCCGTAGCCCTTGGCCCCGCTTCCTCTCTGATCCCCCTGCCCGCCCTTTTGGTCCGGGCTCAGGTCCTTTCTGCCCTGATGCGAGGTCCCTCCAAGTCCCCGAGCGAGCGGCAGCAGGCCCGCGCCGAGCCGTCCGCCCCTTTCGGTGTGCGCCGGCGGGTCCCCGCTCCTCTCGGGCCCCACCTCGGGGCGGCGGGGG